ATACTTGGAGAATTGCTGTGGTTTTCCAAGGATGTTGAACTAAAGCAAAATGTTGACTGAACTCTAATTCCCATCCCCTTCTCTCTTCTCAGGTCTCTGGCCATACAAGTGTCTGGCCGGAGCCCCCCGGGGGGACCCGAACCCCAGGACAGAGGTCCAGATGGCCTGCCTTTCCTTGGGGACAGCTGGTCCGGGACGGTGGTGCGGAGGGTGCTCTCTGGGCCTGGGTCTGCGTCTGCCAGGGTGGAACCAAGAGAGGTGAGCCCCCCACCCACCTGTGGGCTGGGGGAGGGGTTAGTGCTTTCGCCAGGGCTGGATGCCTTCTGATTGGTGGATCTAGGTCACTGGGCGGAGTTTCTAGGGATTGGCTACAGAGGAGGCAGGCTCACTGGTTAGCGGCTGGTTGCCCCGCCTCACCCAGCATTAAGTGAAATCTGATTGGGCAGGGACTGGGAGGTGGGGCAGAATGACAGCCCACCTGCTTTTAAAGGTGGGAAGGACCTGGCTGAACCTGCTGGGTGGAGAGACCTGTTGAAGGTAGCAGAGCCCGGCTGCCCTCCGAGGTGGAGGCGTCTGCATTGTGGAGCATGGCTGGTCGCACACTCAGTCTCCCCCCAGAGCCAGGGCTGTCCTGCCTTTGGAAGCTGACTTTTCTCCCTCCCTGCCTGCATTTTCTCCCAGCCAAGGGCAGAGGCTGCTGGCCTGGAGGGGGCAGGCCTGGAAGGCGAGGCCCAGCGGAGGACCTTGACCTGGAACCAGGTGTCCACACTCCCCTTCCCGATGGATTCTAAGGGTGAGTCTGGCCCGGGGGCAGGGGGGTGGTGCTGGGAACTCACCGGGCCTACAGGGTCGGAGCTAAGGGCCCGAGAGAGGGCTCACCCAGCCCCTGGGGATGGCGCAGCTGAGGCCCGAGCGGGAGACCGTCCGCCTCCTGCCTCTTGGCGGAGCCCTGCCTTCCCGCGTCGCTGCCTCGTGCTGGCTGGCTGTCCTCGTGCCCTTCCTCTGTCCTCAGCAAGCAGAGGTGAAAGGAGCACTGGACAGGAGCCCAGACACCTGGGTTCGAGTCCTAGTTCTGTCCCGAGCGGGCTTGGTGGCCTTGGGCAAGTCCTGCTCTCTCTGGGCCTCGGACTCTCAGTTTAAGAGGAGGAAAGGGGTCCTGGTAGCTTGGGCTTTGAGAGGTCACATCCGATGCCTGACTTCATCCTCCTCTTGTCCTCCCTGCTGCCCCCTGCCCTGTCCGTGCCCAGCTTGCCAGTCCTTCCAAGAGGCCCTAGAAGCCTGGGTGAAGGGGCTGGGCGCCGAGCCCTTCTACATCCGAGCCAACCTCACTCTGCCCGAGCGGGCGGACCCCCACGCCCTGTGTGTGAAAGCCCAGGAGATCCTGCGGCTGGTGGACCCGGTGTACAAGCGGCGGCAGGAGTGGTTCTGTGCACGGGTCGACCCCCTCACGCTGCGGGACCTGGACCGGGGCACAGTGCCCAATTATCAGAGGTGACCCAGAGCCAGGAGCCTGGGGACGGGGTCCCATTGGGAGCTGGGACCGGGGCGGGGGCCTCTTTCTCCCTTTGCAGCCCCTCACTATCCTCTGGACAGGACGGGGGGGCTAGAGGAGAGGCTGTGAGGGGTTCCCTGTCGCCATACTAACATATGACAAGACTCCCCCCTGACCCCCCAGAGCCCAGCAGCTCCTGGAAGTTCAGGAGAAATGCCTGCCCTCCAGTCGGCCTCGAGGGCCCCGCAGTAATGTAAGCAGGGCTGCACCAGCTGGGTGAGGGGCTGGGGAGAGGGGTTTCGAAGGGCGGGTCCAAAAGGGAGAGGCCGGGCTTCATTCTCTGGCAGCCCTGGGGGAGGAGAGGAGAGGAGGGAGGCTCCCACCTCGCTCCCTCATCCGTACTTGGTTGACGTCTGTGTGCCAGCAAGTGGAACAGCAGGGCTCACGCTCAGGGTAGTTGAGAGATTAAATGAGATAGAGTGTGCCTCGTGCTCACACAGAAAGCACTTGACAAAATAACAGTCATATCCCCTGTTCCAGCCCCTGGAGAAGGACTGGGCCGTGTGATCCTCCCCTGTGCACCTGGGCAGAATGAGTTGCCATAGTAACGCGAGAGGCTATGGCACTAGAGAGGGGGTTGAGAGCACAGGCTCTGGAGCCAGACTGGCTGGATTTGAATCCCAGCTCTGCCACTTAATCAGCCATGCAACCTTGGACAGCCACCTGACCCTCCCTGGAGGCTGTGTCCTCGGCTGTAAAATGAGGGGTTACACTGCCTGCTTGGCCCCTCGGTATAGAAGGCTTTAGTGGTTCATGCACATCCGTGGCCTAGTTAGTATTTGTCACATTGTAGGCTTTTGATACCTAACAGCTGTTGGTATGATAAATGCTGTTGTTGTTGGTTTCATTAATCCTCCTCCCCAAGGCCACATTAGTAGTTCATTGTGAGAGACCCCAAAGTTTCTCTCTTGTGACATTAGGTTCCGCTGGTCTCTGGGCCTCAGTTTGTCCATCTGTAAAATGGGGGTGGGTACACCTCACTTCGTAGGTCCTTGCCTCCCTGGGCAGGGACAGGAGACCTGGTGGCATGGGCCCCCCTCTGCCTGGGGTTTCATGTACTCTCCCCTCTCCCCAAGGGTGGAATAAGGCAGAGTTCACAGGGGCCCCTCTTTCCCTCTGCCCTCCCCAGCTGAAGAAGCGAGCTCTGGACCAGCTGCGGCTGGTGAAGCCCAAGCATGCCGGGAGTCCTGCAGGGGACTCCCCGGAGCAGCTGCTGCTGGAGCCCTGCTCAGGTGAGTGCACAGGTGTGAAGGCGCAGCCTGGGCTGCCTCTGGGTGTCCTTTGGCCTGGAAGGGCCTGTTGTGAGGGTGCCAGTGGGGCGGGGCCTGAGAGACAAGGCCCCCTTGGTGGGAGATGGGCCTCCAGGTTTGAGAGTGCCGGTTGGTGCAGGAGGCGCATGTGTCCTAGTGTGTTCGTGGTCTGTATGAGTGCGGGGCACGCATGAGCTCGGGCCTGTTCTCGTCTGGCAGAGCAGGTGTAGCTGTGCCATGAGGACCCCAGAATAGGTTCCTGGAGGCAATAGGGTGAGGCTTTGGGCCAGATCAGGGGGAAGGGGCTGGGAGAGCCCACATGAGAGAATAGCAATTCTGAGGGGCAAGGAGACGAGGATGGTGAGGGAAGACGTGCAGGAAGGGAGATTGTTTAAACCGAGTCCTTCAAGGAGGAAGAGGAGTTTGTTCCAGGCAGAAGGCACAGCTTGTCCTGGCCCGTGTGGCTCAGTTGGTTGAGCGTCATCCCGTGCACCAAAGGGTCATCGGTTTGATTCCTGGTCAGGGCACATGCCCAGGTTTCGGGTTTGGTCCTAGTTGGGGTGTGTATGGGAGCAGTTGATCGGTGTTGCTCTCTTTCCCCCTTTCTCTAAGAAACCAACAAAAAACATTTAAGAAAAAGATGCCCTGGCCGGCTTAGCTCAGTGGATAGTGTGTCAGCCTGCGGACTGAAGGGTCCCAGGTTCGATTCCGGCCGAGGGCACATGCCTGGGTTGTGGGCTCGATCCCCAGTGCCCGGGGCGTGCAGGAGGCAGCCGATCAATGATTCTCTCTCATCATTGATGTTTCTATCTCTCTCTTTCCTTCTCCCTTCCTCTCTAGAATCAATAAAGAAATATATTTTTTTTTAAAAAAAAGGAGGCACAGCTTGTGCAAAGGCCCGGTGGCATGGCTGTGCATGGTGTGTTTGGAGGACATTGGTATCAAGTGTCAGAACTGTCATTCTTGGTCCACAGGACACAGTGGACCCCCACCCCTTTGAAGCTTACTGCCTGTTGGGGATGGGGAGAGGCAGTTACCTGCCGGCCACATCATCTCATTCATGGACGTGATTGCAAAGTGTGACAGTTGTAATGGAGGAGAACTGGATGCCAGGGTGGGGCTTCGGCCTCCGCAGGGCACGGGCAGGCCCTGTGATAGGAGGCAGCTGAAGGGCGGGCTGGGTGTGTGTAGTAGGAGGGGAGTCTGATGGGGTGCAAGGCTTGCTGCTCCCAGGCTCTGGCGGGCTGGGTCACCCACTAGGAGGATGTGGTCTTTTTCCTAAGAGTCATGGGACGTTGACACATTGAAAAAATGAGAGTTATAAGATCTGACTTTAGTTTTAAAACCTCTCTCTGGCCTGGCCAGTGTTTGAGCAACAGTGATTGAGCATCGACCTATGAACCAGGAGATCATAGTTTGATTCCCAGTCAGGGTTGTGGGCTAGATCCTCAGTAGGGGGTATGCAGCCGATCCATGATTCTCTTTCATCATTGCTGTTTCTCGCTCTCTCTCTGTCTCCTTCTCTCTTCCTCTTTTGAAATTAATAAAAATATATTAAAAAAAAATAAAACCTCTCTCTGGCTGCTGAGAGGACAATGGCCTCTAGGGGGCGAGAGGGAGGCAGAGATTAGGGAGGAGTCTACTGCAGAAGTCCCAGGGAGGACTGGGCAGCGTGTGTGTGTGTGTGTGTGTGTGTGTGTGTGTGTGTGTGT